CCTCTCTCCCTTTTACTTTCTTTCGCTCTTTCTCTCCCACCCTTCCTCTCTTCCTCTCTTGCTCCCTTTCTCTCCCCCTCTTCTCTCTCTTTCTCTTTCTCTCTCCCCCCCTCTCTCGGTCTCTCTCCCACTCCCACCCTCCCTCTCTCCCTTTTACTTTCTTTCACTCTTTCTCTCCCTCCCACTCCCTCCCTCTTTCTCTCTTTCTCTCCCTCCCTTTCCCCCTCCCTCCTTCCCTCTCCCTCACTCCTCTCTTCCTTTCTCTGTCTTTCTCTGCCTCTCCCCCCTCTCTCCCCCTCTTCCTCTCTCGCTCTTTCTCTTCCTTCCTCCCTCCCTCTCTTGCTTTCTTTCTCTCCCTCTCTCGCTCTCTTTCTCTCCCCTCTTCTCTCTCTTTCTCTTTCTCTCTTCCCCCCTCTCTCTCAGTCTCCCTCCCACTCCCACCCTCCCTCTCTCCCTTTTACTTTCTTTCGCTCTTTCTCTCCTTCCCACTCCCTCCCTCTTGCTCTCTTTCTCTCCCTCCCTCTCCCCCTCCCTCTTTCCCTCTCCCTCACTCCTCTCTTCCTTTCTCTGTCTTTCTCTGCCTCTCCCCTCTCTCCCCCTCTCCCCCTCTCGCTCTTTCTCTCCCTTTCTCCCTCCCTTTCTCCCTCCATCTCTTACTTTCTTTCTCTCCCTGTCTCGCTCTCTTTCTCTCCCCCTCTTCTCTCTCTTTCTCTTTCTCTCTCCCCCCTCCCTCTCTCGGTCTCTCTCCCACTCCCACCCTCCCTCTCTCCCTTTTACTTTCTTTCGCTCTTTCTCTCCTACCCTTCCTCTCTTCCTCTCTCGCTCCCTTTCTCTCCCCCTGTTCTCTCTCTTTCTCTTTCTCTCTCCCCCTCTCTCTCGGTCTCTCTCCCACTCCCACCCTCCCTCTCTCCCTTTTACTTTCTTTCGCTCTTTCTCTCCCTCCCACTCCCTCCCTCTTTTGCTCTTTCTCTCCCTCCCTCTCCTCTCCCCCTCCCTCTTTCCCTCTCCCTCCCTCCTCTCTTCCTTTCTCTGTCTTTCTCTGCCTCTCCCCTCTCTCTCCCCCTCTCCCTCTCTCACTCTTTCTCTCCCTCCCTCTCCCTCCCTCTCTTGCTTTCTTTCTCTCCCTCTCTCGCTCTCTTTCTCTCTCCCCCCTCCCTCTCTCGGTCTCTCTCCCACTCCCACCCTCCCTCTCTCCCTTTTACTTTCTTTCGCTCTTTCTCTCCCTCCCACTCCCTCCCTCTTGCTCTCTTTCTCTCCCTCCCTCTCCCCCTCTTTCCCTCTCCCTCCCTCTAACCCTAACCCTTTCTCTGCCTCTCCCCTGCCTCTCCCCTCTCTCTCCCCCTCTCCCTCTCTCGCTCTTTCTCGCTCTTTCTCCCTCCCTCTCTTGCTTTCTTTCTCTCCCTCTCTCGCTCTCTTTCTCTCCCCCTCTTCTCTCTCTCTCTCTTTCTCTCTCCCCCTCCCTCTCTCGGTCTCTCTCCCACTTCCACCCTCCCTCTCTCCCTTTTACTTTCTCTCCCACCCACTCCCTCTCTCTTGCTCTCTTTCTCTCCCTCCCTCTCCCACTCCCTCTTTCCCTCTCCCTCCCTCCTCTCTTCCTTTCTCTGTCTTTCTCTGCCTCCTCCCTCTCTCTCCCTCTCTTCCTCTCCCCCTATTCTCTCTCTCTCTCTCTTTCTCTCCCCTCTCCCTCTCTCTTGCTCTCTTGCTCTCTCTCCCTCTCCCTCTGTCTGTCTGCCTCTCTCTCTCTCTCTCTCTCTCTTGCTTTTCATGTTCGGACACTTTCTGGGACTGTTGGAACCCCGCCCGCGTTTGTCATGTGACATCAGGGCGTGTAATACAATCCTTGGCTTTGTGAGGCCAGGCTGCCTGGGCAACGTTTGTGCGTTGCGTCCTTTGCTTGCCAAGCGTCCTCCGCAATGAATCCTGTTTCGGCCAGCAGTTTCTCCCCCCCCACTCGCAAGAGCTACTGCTGGGGAGGGGGGGAGCCTGCCAAAGGCCCACATATATCTCCCACCCTATCCCGGCTGATCCATGAAACACCTGCTGTAATCCTGACCCCCCCTCCCCAACACACACCCCCATTAGTGAAGATGGGGCGCTCCCCTCCCCCACCCATGTTGCTATCCCCCTCCCCTGCGTGTCAGGTCCAAGAACGACAGACACAGGGCTGAACCTGGGAGATGGGGTAGAAGACAGTGCCTCTGAGCAAGAGCAAAGTGCATTTTCTTCCCCCTTGGGTCACTGCCCGGAGTCAAAGGCCAAGGATTGCCTTGGGGGATGCCTGGAATATTCCAGATACGGACCTTTTTGGAAAATAAAAGTCCCCGTCAGTTATTGGCTTATTGCCAACCTAATAAAGCAGAAGTGGGGTCCAATTTTCTCCAAGAAACCGAGAGTCCGCTCCTTCGTCAGCTGCTTTGCAACGCCCCTCCCCTCTCTACAGCCCCTCCCACACTCCGCTGGACCAGCGCCAGGGGTTTTCCTCACTTGGATGGGACTTTCCACGAACCGGCCAATCAAAACTCGGAAACAGACTTGGTCACTAGTTGCCAGGCAGGGAAATCCATTTTCTCGTCCGATTCACCACTTAAGCTGTGCGGCTGCCTTGAAATTGTCACATCTCTGCGGAAGAGATTCGTTTCCCCCCACAAATGCTTTATTAAAGTTTACTGTACTCTAAAATACAATTAAATTAAAGATTTTAAAAAAGAGAGGGGTCAGGATAAAAAAAAGAAGAAAGAAAAGGAAAAAAGACTCTTTTCAGTAGTGAAAATACTTTTGACTTTTGACTTAGATTTAGTTATAACCAGCCATTTCTAAAACTACACATTTATTCCATCTTCAAACTAAAATCTATTTTTTTTCCTATTTCAAACCTAAAAAAAAAAAGTGATTTCCCAGTGGAAACAGGACTGAATAAAAATCTTCTCTTTGTTTAAAAACCTTTGCATTGCCGTCCCAACGAAATCCATTTCCCCCCCCCATCCATTTTTTTCAATTGTGAGGGGAAAAAATACATTTCCATTTACACTTATTTAATTTTCTGCACTGTCATCATCTACAGGCAGTCCTCATCTTACAACAATTCATTTTGTGACTGTTCGAAGCAGTGGTGAAATCCAATTTTTTTACTACCAGTTCTGTGGGCGTGGCTTGGTGGGCGTGATGTGGCTTGATGGGCATGGCAGGGGAAGGATACTGCAAGATCTCCATTCCCTCCCCATTCCTGGGGCCAGCCAGAGGTGGTATTTGCTGGTTCTCTGAACTGCTCAAAATTTCTGCTACCGGTTCTCCAGAACCTGTCAGAACCTGCTGGATTTCACCCCTGCTTTGAAGATACTACGGCATTGAAAAAAGTGGCTTATGACCATTTTTCATACTTACGACCATTGCCGCATTTCCTCAGGGTCCTGCGATTTATATTTGGATGCTTGACAACTGACTCACATTTATTTTTTTATTTTTTTTATCCATCTATCATCTATCTATCCACCTATCATCTATCTATCTATCTATCTATCTATCTATCTATCTATCTATCTATCTATCTATCTATCTATCATCTATCTATCTATCATCTATATATCTATCATCTCTTTCATATATCTTTTTTTAAAAATTTATTTATTTAAAAAAATACATCAAGAAAAAGAAATAGTCAAACAAATGATCGCGACAGGAACTTTACATGATATTTACACTTTCTACGGTATGTAGACTTCAGTCAGATTTAACAAATATTAAACATAATCCTGGTTATATTTGACTTTTTGGGCGTCTGTTGTTCAACCAAACATACCATTTGTCCCAACATTGGAAATATATGGAGTCCTTTTGATCTCTCAATGCTTTAGTCAGTCTGTTGGCTTCCGCATAATCCAAAATTTTCTCCAGAATCAAGTCTTCAGCCGGCAGGTCTTTCCCCTTCCAATGTTGGGCGAAACATATTCTTGCTGACGTGGTGATAAAAACACACAGACACCATATATTTGTGCCTATGTTGTCTGGCCTAATGTTCAGTAGATAGTACTCTGGTTTCAGAATTAGGTTATAACCTGTGATTTCCATGATCCATGCCTGTATGATTTTCCAGAATTCAGTCATCCTGGAACAGGTCCACCACATGTGGAAATAGGTGCCAATCTCCCCACACTTCCAACAGTTTGGTGAGAGATTTGAATACATTTTAGAAAGACGAGCAGGTGGAAGGTGCCATCTATACAGCATCTTGTACACATTTTCTTTGTATGATGATGCCCACAGGAATTTCATATGTTTAAGCCAGATTTCTTCCCATTTTGTCATATCAATTGGATAGCCAATATTTCTCCCCCAGGCAACTGACTCACATTTATGACGGTTGCAATCTCCCGGGGTCATGTGATTTTTGCAACCTTCTGACATGCAAACTCACTGGGGAAAGCCAGATTCACTTAACAACCCTGTTACTAATTTAACGACTCCAGTGATTCAGTTAACAAATGTGACCAGAAAAGTCATAAAATGTGGCAAAATCCAATTAAAGAATTTCTCACTTGGCAACGTACATTTTGAACTCAGTTGTGGTCGCATCCCGAGGACTCCCTGTATAATAGCACAAATTGTCTCCAGAAGTTGTAGGTGCTTCATCACTGGGGGTCTTTAAGAAGAGATTGGACAACCCTTTGTCTAAAGTGGTGTAGGGTTTCCTGCCTGAGCAGGGGGTTAGACTAGAAGACCTCCAAGGTCCCTCCCAACTCTGTTATTCCATTCTATTCTAAAAATCATGATTATTTTTTCAAAGTCTTTCACCAACGCGCCTCGAAAGGAAAACATTTAGTTCCGCTTTTATATTCCTTTTTAAAAATCCGCCGAAGATTTTTCTTCTGCCATCATGAAATCCACGGCTTTCTGGCTCCTTTGACCCTCCCTTCCCCCGCTCCCCCCCCCCCAAAAAAACCTACAAACCGCAATCGACAATCGCTTCCCTTTCTATAAGCACAAAAGGGACAGGAACAGACACGCACAGTTGAGTAATATCTTTATTAGAAAGAAGAAGCATCAGCCAGGACTGGAAGCGTTTCTGGTTCTGCAGCGGTTGCAAAAAAAAATTAAGAAGCTGATTTTGCAGGACAGAGGGAATTTTTTGGGGGGGGGATGGAATGGGGCGTGCAGAAGGAAGGCACTGGTGTTAAAAAAAAAAAAAGCCTCCCTACAGGGAGCGCAAGGGAATTGGCTAAATCACTGTCCAGGGTCCTGAAAAAGGGATAGGGACCCTCTGCCTTTGTCTAAGCTAGCGGGGTTTCACATTCTATTCAACGGGAGCAAGCAAGCTGCGGTTGAACTTTCAGGGAGTTTGTGGTCCGGGACGGCAGATGTTAAAAGCCGAGGCAGAGGTTGCCTGAAGGGAAGTCTCCGAGACAAACCAAGATGAGGGGGTGGGGTGTCACTGAAGAGCGATGCTAAGGGATCACCTGCCCTGCCTTCCCCAACAACATAGGGATCCCCCAAAAAACCCCATGGAGATGATCAGAAAGGGAGGGGAGTAAATGAATCAAGAGGTGGGGGGATGAGTACCAGAGAGTGTGCCCCTTTTAGCTAACCCTGGTTCCTTGGGCGGACCTTAAAATCAGCCTTCTCCATCACTAGGGGCTCGTCGGCAAAGGCTCTGTGTTTTCTCTCAATAAAGGAGAATATTCTGTAGCTCAGGGTTGACATGAGGTGCTCTCTGAGCTTGGATGTTTTCTTGCAGAGATTTCATGACCCAACTAGGTAACCGTATCAGTGCTGATGGTGTTACCCAATTCGGGTCATGAAACATCTACAAGAAGACAGCCAAGCTCGGAGATCCCTCCCTTCTAGCCCTGATAATATTAGCTAGTTGGGTCATGAAACGTCAGCAAGAAGATAGCCAAGCTCAGAGAACACCGAGGACTCTCCGACGCCTCCCCACCCCCCAAACTCTCTCACCCCTCCTACATTCGCCTCTAACCCCAATGCTTGGAAGACAAGGGACTCCAGGATCCCCTGGGAATGTTGCACTTCTGGGACCTCCAACAAGGACGGTGGGAAAGAATGTTGGCAATGGGGCAGAGAGCATCCCCCCACCACACTTTCTGGTTTACTCTGGAGTTGTCACAAGTGTCGGAAAAAGAAAAATGTGCAGCACATGTGTAAATGCAGCTCACGGGGATGGGGGGTCGGGGTGGAGGCGGCGAGTCAAGCCTGCAATCGTGGTTTACCTGGAAGGAAGGAAAGAAAGAAAAGAGGGGTGAGAATTCTGGGAGGGGGAGCCACTGGAGAGAAAGACCCGATGTACAATGCTGTGCCTGATCTCTGTCCGTCTTCCACAGTGGGGGGGAGGCTTCCCAGAGTCACCCCTTCCTCCAGATGCCCCAAGGCACAGCCCCCCCACTTCAGAATGAAGCCCCCCCCGGCTGAGGGGCTAAGTGGGGAGAAACCAACCCTAAGCAAACCTCAACTCAGCTGGATGCTGAATCACGCAGATGGTTCAACTACTTTAGGAGTAAGGACTATGGAGTAAGGACTATGGTTTCCCAAAAAAATCAAGAGGGGCCCACAATGCTGCAATGGAAGCTTCCCCCCCACCTTTCTAGTTGTGGGCTGCCATTGATCCCTTGCAGAATCCCCTAGACCGTCTCTCTTCAGACTTCAAATTAACTGTGTTTTTTTTTTTTTTAACGAAATAAAAATTTGTGGTTTGTTGAAGAAGTGACAGAGGCCAGAGAAAGACATGCAAACAGTTCACACATCACACTCATGAAAGAAAGCTTCCCCATGCAAAACCTCAGATGGCCACTAGGGGATGGAACAGAGACTCCCACTGGCTGCCCCCTAGAGGCTCCCTGCAGTTTTGCAGCCCAGATAACTCCCCCATGTCCTAGCTTAGCCTGGGTCACTTGCTATGAATCTTCCCCACCCCAGATGATGCCAACCTGGTGGATTCCCGCCCCCCCTCCCTTGCCCTCCCCCCAACACAGAACTGGAGGGTCCAGGAACTCACAGGGTTCCTCGGCGATAGCTGGCCTCTCCCATCTTCCGGCTCTTTATCATCAGGATGGTGCCAATCACAATGCCCACAAGGCCTATCGCCAGGCCCAGTGCACAGATCACATTCTCAGTCGTCTCCGGGAGGGGCTCTGGGATATTGGCGTCTATGGGACAGGAAGGAGAAAGGGATAAGATGGGGAGGCGGCCATCCGAGCACCTCCTGTCCAGCAGGCATTGCAGGAATTCCTTGGGAGTTTCCACAGTGAGGGTCGGGCGGTGGGGGGGGGACTGGCAGTCAGCAGAAATCCAATTTCAGGAAGTCACAGAAGCCTAGGGCTACAAGGGACTTTGGAGGTAATCTACTCCAACCTCTGGCCCAGAGCAGGAACCTTCAAACTTTCCCAGACAAATGTCTAACCAGCCTTTTCTTGAAACCTTCCAGTGAGGGACCTCCATGGCTTCAAGTAGCAGGGAGTTCCCCTGCTTCATTGCTTTCCCTGACAGGAAATTCCTCCTTTAGTTCAAGTTTGGATCCCACCCTGTGGAGTTGCCACCTGTTGCTTCTATCTTACTTGGAGAATGTCCCCTTTCCGAGGTACACCACTCTGAGAGACCCTTGCCTATGTGGGAAGATGCCACCATGTCTTCCGCTCCCTTCCTCCTTCTCTCCCTCAGGCCAAAGATCCTCAATAGGATTTGACCCTCAGGCCTCTCGCCATCTTTGTCCCCCTTTGCTGCCTCTTTAAGGTCTGTTTGTGTGTGGGGGGGGGAATCCCCCATCTATTCAGCACCTGAAGCCCCACCTGGAACATCTGGCAGCTGTGGGACAGACGGGCGCAAGGAAGGCAAACTTGGGAGTGGGGTTTTCCAAAGGGGACACCCTCCCCTTTTCAAATTCCCTTAGATACGTGGGACCCCTGACCCAAAAGGTTACCCCCCCCTCTGCCCCCCCTCCCTGTTCTGCTTACTCCAAATCTTGCTCAGGGACTCCGTGAGGCCCCAATGTTCCACCACGCAGGCGTAATAATCATCCGCGTTTGGGACGAAGGGCAGGTAGGAGAACCGGCGGAAGGAATGGTCCTTCTTGGGGTAGTAATCCATGGTCTGCACCCCTTCGGTCACCGGCTTGCCGTTCTTCACCCAGGTCATGTTCAGCACCGGCGGGGAGAAGCCGTCCGCCATGCAGATCAGTATGTTGGGCTCCTCCATCTCCACCATCGTCTCTGGGTACACCATCACTTTTGGAGGCACTGCAGAGAGGAGAGGGGCTTCGGTTGAGGGGAGGGTACCTTGACTTCCTCCAACCCTTGGAGGAAGAAGGCCATCCTTCAACGATGGGAAGTTCTCAGGAGAAGTCTGAGGGACATCCAGCTGGGATCAGAAGTCCACTTCTTGGCCCAGTGAGTGGTTAGGTCAGTCAGTCGATCAATCCATCAGAATAGAGCTGGAAGAGATCTTGGAGGTCTTTTGGTCCAACCCCTTGCTCAAGGAGGAGACCCTAGACCACATCAAGTCAGAGGGTTCCCACATGGCATCAAGATTAATGTAGGTTTGTTTTTATGCTGCCCTTCTTCCCTACAAGATTATTCTGGCTGCTGACGATGTTCAAGAGGAGGAAGGAGAGGAAACGCCTCACAAGTTTGTTGTGGTTTTGTTTGAAAGAGAGAGAGATGAGAGAGAGAAGAGAGGAGAGACAGAGACAGAGAGACAAGAGAAGAGAGGGGAGAGAGAGAGGAGAGACTGAGAGAGAAAAGAGACAGAAGAGACAGAGAGACAAGAGAACACAGAGAGAGAAGAGAAAGAGAGGAGAGAGTGAGAGAGAAAAGAGAGAAGAGAGAGAAGAGACAGAGACAGAGAGACAAGAGAACAGAGAGAGAGGAGAGAGCGAGAGGAGAGAGAGTGAGAGAGACAAGAGAACAGAGAGAGAGGAGAGAGAGGAGAGAGAAAAGAGAGGAGAGACAGAGAGAGAAGAGAACAGAGAGGAGAGAGAGAGGAGAGAGTGAGAGAGAAAAGAGAGAAGAGAGAGAAGAGACAGAGACAGAGAGACAAGAGAACAGAGAGAGAGGAGAGAGCGAGAGGAGAGAGAGTGAGAGAGACAAGAGAACAGAGAGAGAGGAGAGAGAGGAGAGAGAAAAGAGAGGAGAGACAGAGAGAGAAGAGAACAGAGAGGAGAGAGAGAGGAGAGAGTGAGAGAGAAAAGAGACAGAAGAGACAGAGAGACAAGAGAACACAGAGAGAGAAGAGAAAGAGAGGAGAGAGTGAGAGAGAAAAGAGAGGAGAGAAGAGACAGAGACAGAGAGACAAGAGAACAGAGAGAGAGGAGAGAGCGAGAGGAAAGAGAGTGAGAGAGACAAGAGAACAGAGAGAGAGGAGAGAGAGGAGAGAGAAGAGACAGAGAGAGAGACAAGAGAACAGAGAGAGGAGAGAGAGAGAGGAGAGAGAGTGAGAGAGACAAGAGAACAGAGAGAGAGGAGAGAGAGAAGAGAGAGGAGAGAGAGAGACAGAGAGACAAGAGAAAAGAGAGAAGAGAGAGAGGAGGGAGAGAGAGGAGAGAGAGAGAGAGAGAGGAGAGAGGAGAGACAGAGACAGAGAGACAAGAGAACAGAGAGAGAAAAGAGAGAGAGGAGAGAGAGAGAAGAGAAAGAGAGAAGAGAAAGAGAGAAGAGAAAGAGAGAGATTGAGAAAGAAGAGGAGAGAGAGAGAGGAGAGAGAGACGGAGAGTGTTACATGGAGGGCAAAACGAAGAGGCTAAATCCCCTCACACACACCCTTTATCAGTTGAGTTCACGGAGAAGCACCTTCCAGGGATCCATCTGGTGTAACCCTCCGCCCTCCCCAAGTGTCCTCCGGATTTCAAGTGGGCTCATCCAGGGGTAGCAGCAAGAGAAAGGGAGGTGAGAAGAGCCCAGACTCCTCCTGTGAAAGGAAGGGCCAGGCTTCCACAGCTGGAGGGTCGTGTCCGCCATCTTGACTTTTTTGACTCCCCTCCCCGGGATGCCAGGGCTCCGATGGGGGTGGGGGCAGGAAGGAAGTAAAGAAGGAAGAGATGGAAACCCCCCCCCACCCCTGCCCTCATGGCCCTCTCACCGTTAACAGCGGGCGTGTAGTTGGATCTCTTCATCAGGATGTCCAAGTTGGACTGCAGGACGGCGATGTTCCCTTGGGCGCCCTCGGCCTGGAAGCTGGTGAAGCGCCCGAATTCGGGCAGCCGCCAGATGGTCTCTCTCTGCTCCAGGTCCACGTGGAAAATCTCATCGTCGTCGAACTCGAACATGAACTCGGAGCTGCTGCTGGTGTTCCGGCGGGTCTTCTGGACAAAGGCCACCTGGGACAAGACCTCCTCGCCTGGGACAGGACTGTCCTGGGCTGAAAGAGGGAGAGAGGGAGGGAGGGAGAGAGGGAGGGAGCGGTCAGTGAGTCCTGACACCACAAGGCCACAGTCCCCCTCCCTTGGAAAAAAAAACACTGAAGGGGATTGGAGAGAGAAGAGGTCTTGAGTAGACTCTAGAGCAGGGGTCTCGAACCTTGGCAACTTTAAGCCTGGAGGACTTCAACTCCCAGAATTCCCCAGCCAGCTTTGTTTTGCTGGCTGGGGAATTCTGGGAGTTGAAGTCCTCCAGGCTTAAAGTTGCCAAGGTTCGAGCTGGCTGGGGAATTCTGGGAGTTGAAGTCCTCCAGGCTTAAAGTTGCCAAGGTTGGAGACCCCTGCTCTAGAAAGAGTGCAGAGAAGAGCAACCAAGATGATTCGGGGACTGGAGGCTCAAACATACGACGAAGGGTTGCAGGAACTGGGCCTGGCTAGTCCAGTGAAGAGAAGGACCAGGGGAGATGCAAGAGCAGTCTTCCCAATATTTGAGGGGCTGCCCCAGAGAGGAAGGGGCTCAACCTATTTTCTCCAAGGCACCTGAAGGCCAAGGTCCACAAGGAATCATGGATGGAAACTGACCAAGGAGAGATTCAACCTGGAAATAAGGAGAAATTTGGTAGTAGAGCCTTGGTAGTACAGGGGTTTAAGGCACCCTGTTATTAAGCTGGTTATTAAGACCAGCTGCCTGCAATTACTGCAGGGTTCGAATCTCGCCAAGGCTCAAGGTTGACTCAGCCTTCCATCCTTTCTAAGGTAGGTGAAATGAGGACCCAGTTTGTGGGGGCAATAAGCTGACTTTGTATAAATATACAAAAGGATGAAGGCTATTGCTGAGCACATTGTAAGCCGCCCTGAGTCTTCGGAGAAGGGCGGCATATAAATCAAATTTAAAAAAAAAAAAAAAATTCCTGACGGTGAGAAGAATCCACCCACGGAACAGAAGTTGCCTTCAGAAGTTGGGGGAGCTTCATCCCTGGAAGCTTTCAAGGACAGAAATGGTGGAGGGTCTCTTGCTGGGCGGGGTTGGACTAGATGACCTCCAGGGTGCCTTCCGACTCTGTTAAACCTTTCATCCGTTCGTTGCCCAGACATGGCGAGCGGGCGAGGGAGTGGGCGGGGCAAAGGGCTTGGGGGCAGAAGGGTGGTCCCAGTTGGGGGGTGGGGGGCTCCTCCCCTGGCCCCCTCCCTTCCCTGCAGACGGCAAACCCCCCCCCCGAGTCCCGGGGGCGCGGGGGTGGGCGGATGGTTAAAGCGTTCAGCTCCCCACGGAGGGAGGGTCCACCTTCTCTCTTGGCGCCCAGACTGGATCCCTGACGGATCGATCTCGCCTGGGGGAAGCCAAGGATCCGGGTGACTTTTCTTTTTTTTTTTTTGCCCAGCCCGCGGGCGGTGGCTGCGTTCCCACGAAACTGCCCCAACTCGGGCCTTTTCCGGGTTCGCGGAACGGCCTGAACGCGCCCAAGGGCAGGATTCGCCCGACACGAGAAGCTGGGCCGCCACCGGGCAGAACTGGTGGAGGGTCTCGTGCTTGGGCGGGAGGGGGAGGGGGGCTCCCGGAGGATTGGACTAGATGACCTCCAAGGTCCCTCCCGACTCTGGGAATCTGACACGCGGGCCTGGCTCCCCCCCCCCGCAGTTGCCGCGGCCGGCTTGCACCCCGCACAGGAAGCCTCGGAAACCCCCCCTTTCCTAGAATAGCCGGTCGTGTGAATGCCACCCCACCCCACTGACTTCCCCACGGATAGGGGAGGGGGGGCAGAGAAAATCGGTTCCCGTCCTGCCCCCGACTTCGCTAACTCGGGAAACGGGGGTTGGGGGAAAGTCGGAGTGGGGGCAGAGATCCCCCCCTCTTCTTCCGGGCGAGGGGTACAGCCTTTCCCCCCTTCCCCCCCCACCCCCACCCCCGCTTCCCTTCCCCTCCCTCTCTCCCTCCCTCCCCCCACCCCCACGCCTGCTTTTCTTCCCCTCCCTCTCTCCCTCCCTCGCGCACCCCTGCTTCTCTTCCCCTCTCTCCCTCCCTCCCCCACCCCCACCCCTGCTTCTCTTCCCCTCCCTCCCCCCGCTTCCCTTCCCCTCCCTCCCTCCCCCCACCCCCACCCCTGCTTTTCTTCCCCTCCCTCTCTCCCCCTTCTCTTCCCCTCCCTCTCTCCTTCCCTCCCGCACCCCTGCTTCTCTTCCCCTCTCTCCCCCCCCGCTTCCCTTCCCTTCCCCTCCCTCTCTCCCTCCCTCCCCCACCCCCACCCCTGCTTCTCTTCCCCTCCCTCCCCTCCGCTTCCCTTCCCCTCCCTCCCTCCGAGGGACCCCCAGAGAGGCGCCCCTACCTCTCCCGAGCTCGGCCAGGGCCAGGAAGAGCAGCAGGAGCCGCGCCAGCCCCCCGGGGCCCCCCACACCGTTGCCTTTGCCAGCCATGGAGCTTCGGTCGCAGCAGCGGGACGACGGGAGGGAAAGTGGAAGCGACGCGTCGCGCGGGGCAATTTAGCCCGGCCGTCGGCTGGCAGGGCGGCCTCGGCCGCTCGGCGACCAATCAGAAAATCGGGCGCCGGTGACGCCGTTGTCGCCGGGTAAAGGAAGGCCGGCAGGTGGACGATCCCGGAGATAGAACGCGGCCGCCGAAGCCCAGCCGACCTCTGCAGCCCGCAGCCCTTCCCCCCCCCCACTCCTTGCCCGGGGTCTCCGGTTCTGGGGGGGGGCTGCTGCTGGATTGCCCCCTCCCCGCAAGAGGGGTAGGGGCGGTTTCAGTCTTCCCAATTCCAAAGGGAGCGGAGGGGAGTCCCTGCTGGACTCTGATTCAATCAATCAATCAATCAATCAGAATAGAGGTGGAAGGGACCTTGGAGGTCTTCTAGTCCAACCCCCTGTTGGGAGACCCTATATACCATTCCAGACAGGTGGCTGCCCAGTCCTGTTTTTATTTAAAAAAAAAAAACAACACTTCCAGTGACAAAGCACCCACAACTTCTGGTGGCAAACTGTTCCACTGGTTAATTGTCCTCACTGTCGGGAAGTTTCTCCTTCATTCCAGGATCCTTTCAGATCCATTCAGATCCTCCCTAGGCTTGGCTAAAGGTTCTGCATCTGGCCTTGCACGGAGGGGGCGACGAGGTTTAGTCCCGCCTTGGCCATGAAAGACAGATGAGTGAGCCAGTCCTCGTCTTTCAGCTCGTCCCACCCCACAGGGTTGTCGTTCTGGGGTGAAGGAACCGGTAGGAGGATTAGTTTATGTTCGCTGGCTTGCATGATATGTCAGAGTCGCTTTCGAACCTGGCAGAGAATACATCTGATGTATAAATATAAAAAGATGGGGGATAAAAATAGAGGAATGGTCATTAATTGTTTTTGCAAAGAAGACAAAGAAAGAGAGGACCACCTGGTGAGCCGCTGGAGGAAGATCGCAGGGACTGACCATGTGGATGTGCTGGATGAAAAAGTGGCAATAATGGAAAAAATCTGCCAAAAATAAAATAGAATAGAATCACAGAGTTGGGCTTGGAAAATGGTCCACTATTCCAACAGACTGTGCGATAATCGGGAAAAATTTTCGAATGTGCAGAAATGGACAAACTTACTTTAGAGTTAAACAATAAGGAAGACTCGGAATGTTACTTAACTTGGGATAATTGGTATCAATGGATAGAAATTAAAAATAAGGAATGTATAGAACAAAATAAGATATAAAATGTGATTAAATATGTCGATTAAGTAGGAATATGTGGGAATAGACGAAGAAAGTTAAGAATTAAGTACTGTCAAAAAGACGTTGAATTGTATAATTATTATGGATGTATTTTTCTCATAGAGGTGTATTTTTTTAAATTTGATTTATATGCCGCCCTTCTCCGGAGACTTAGGGCGGGTTACAGTGCATTAAGCAATAGCCTTCATACTTTTGTATATTTATACAAAGTCAGCTTATTGCCCCCACAAACTGGGTCCTCATTTTACCTACCTTAGAAAGGATGGAAGGCTGAGTCAACCTTGAGCCTGGCGAGATTCGAACTTACAGTAATTGCAGACAGCTGGTGTTAAATTACAATGCTTTTAGTCTGCAGAGCTATCCAGGCTCCTTAACTTGTAACTTAATTTTAACTTGTATTTTTGGATTTTAAGTGTTAATAAAGGTTTTTCTAAAAAAAAAAAAAGATAGGGATGGAGATAGGGATAGGGATAGGGATAGGGATAGGGATAGGATAGGATAGGATAGGATAGGATAGGATAGGATAGGATAGGATAGGATAGGATAGGATAGGATAGGATAGGATAGGAATTATTAAAAAAAAAAAAGGAATAACAGAGTTGGAAGTGACCTTGGAGGCCTTCTAGTCCAACCCCCTGCTCAGGCAGGACAATCTATACCATTTCAGACAAATGGTTATCCAACATCATCTTAAAAATTTCCAATGTTGGAGCATTCACAACTTCTGGAGGCCAGTTGTTCCACTGATTAATTGTTAATTAACTGTCAGGAAATTTCTCCTTAGTTCCAAGTTGCTTCTCTCCTTGATTAATTTCCATCCATTGCTTCTCGTCCTGCCCTCAGGTGCTTTGGAGAATAGCTTGACTCCCTCTTCTTTGGGGCAGCCCCTGAGATACTGGAAGACTGCTATCCTGTCTCCCCTAGTCCTTCTTTCCATTAAACTAGACATACCCAGTTCCTGCAACCGTTCTTCTTATGTTTTAGCCTCCAGTCCCCTAATCATCTCTGTTGCTCTCCTTTGCCTGCGAGCCAGAGCTATTCCGAGACCAGAAAATAGACAAAGTAAACACAAAATGAGGAAGTTAAAGTGCTCTGGGACTTCAGAATTCAAACACACAGGCGCCTGCCACACAACAACACCCCTCCCCCCCACAACCTGACAATTGAAGCCTTGTTAGAGACCCCGCACAGCCCTTCAGCATCTCTGTTTCTGTCGCTCCCCCCTGGGAGGAGATTTTGACGCATCTCTAGCAGGTATCTCTGGAGATTCTCAGTCATCCAGGTCATGGTTGTCCCAAAGAGTTGTCCCACCTGGACTTTCATGGTTTTTCTTTGAAGACGTTTCGCTTCTCATCCAAGAAGCTTCTTCAGTTCTGGTTCTTTTTCTTCATCCAATTATCCTACAAAGCACCGGAAGGCAGGACAAGAAACAACAGATGGAAACTCATCAAGGAGTGGAGCAACCTGGAATTAAGGAGAAACTTCCTAACAGTGAGGACAATTAACCGGTGGAACTGCTTGCCACCAGAAATCGTGGGCGCTCCATCACTGGAGATTTTTAAGAAGAATCTAGAGTCTATTTATTTATTTTATTTATTTATTAATTTTATTTCTATACCGCCCTTCTCCCGAAGGACTCAGGGCGGTGTACAGCCTAATTAAAAACACAAAGACAGACAGTATTTTTTTTTTTAATTTGATTTATATGCCGCCCTTCTCCGGAGACTCAGGGCGGCTTACAATGCACTAAGCAATAGCCTTCATCCTTTTGTATATTTTATACAAAGTCAGCTTATTTCCCCCACAAACTGGTCCTCAATTTACCTACCTTAGAAAGGATGGAAGGCTGAGTCAACCTTGAGCCTTGGAGAGATTCGAACCAGCAGAAATTGCAGGCAGCTGTGTTAATGACAGGGTGCACTAAACCACTGTACTATCAAGGCTCTTTAAAGTCTAGAGACAGTCACTTATCTGAAATGGTATAGGTTCTCCTGCTTGAGTAGGGGGCTGGACTAGAAGACCTCCAAGGTCCCCTCCAGCTCATTCAATCTATCTCTAGCAGGATTACTAGATTCTGGAAGAGTTTTGCTCCTTATGCCATCCACCTTGTGAATTCGCAGGATTCTTTTTTCTCCCATGGATATTTATACACCTGAACTATGATGTTGATGTTGGCAGAGAAACATCACTAGACTGGGATATTTCTCTGTGTCATCTGTGTGTGTGTAGGTGGGTATGTGCATAACAATTATCTTTTGAGAGCTGAATGCAATGAAATTTCATTTTAATGTCTGCTGATTCGTGTACATTTAAAGTGACAATAAAGTTTTAATCCTGTCCTGTCCTGTCGTGGATCGTGGACATGGCAGTCCATGGAGAAAGCAGAAGAAAAGAGAAAGGACTGCAAAAGAAAACAAGACCTGCAAACAGAAATACAAAAACATTGTGGCAAAAAAAAAAGCAGAGTCGACCTCAATTGCGTCCTAAATTTGCTGTCGCTAAGCCAAGACAGTTGTTAAGTGAGCTGCGCTCCTTTTTATGACCTTTTTTTTGCCACAGTTCTGAAGTGAGGTTGTTAAGCGAATCATGCTTCCCCCGTTGATTGTCTGAAGGTCGCTAAAAGGGATCACATGACCCCAGGACCGTGCAACCGTCATAAACGCAGGCCGGTGGCCAAGATCCTGACCATGTGACCCTGGGGATGCTGTCACGGTCATAAGTGTGAACATCGATTCTCAGTCACTTTTTCAGTGTGGTCGTAACTTTGAACGGTCACTATCTGAATGGTTGCAAGTTCAGGACTCCCTGTAGTGCCAGTAGTGATTAGGGGGGCTTGAATGCAACCCCAAAACATCTGGAGCAGCCCTTGAACATCAGGGGCATTGACAACAATCCCCCTCAGTCAATTGCGGAAGGCAGCTCTGCTTGCAACTGCTTAAATCCCGCGAGGAGGAGACCTTTGCTGCCATCAAACTCCCACATCCGCCTCTCCCGGGTCCTCGGAAGGGCTCGATGGGCGGACAAAAAGGCCAAATCCAGGCTGAACGGCTGAACATCCCCCGGCCCCTTCGAGAACCATCTCCTCCAAAGGACCCGGCCGTGGATCCCCTGCCTGGAGACGGATGACGCTTCCAAAGCTCGATTTTTCATTGGTTGGGCCCGATGTTCGACTTTCTGGAAGTCAAAAATAGAGTTCCGCGGCGCTGCCCCTCCCTCCACCCCCATTCTTTCCCCTCCCCCTCCCTCTCTCCTCCTCCCTCGCTTCCTCCTTCCCTTCCCCTCTCTATCCTCGCTCCCCCTTCACTCCCTCCCCCCACACTCTTCCTCTTTCTTCCCCCTCCTCACTCCCCACCCGTTTTGCCCCCTTGCTCTCTTCTCTCTCCCTTCGCTCTTCTTGATTCCTCTCTCGCATTTCCCTCTCCCTCCCCCTCCCTCTCTCCCCTCTCTCCCTCCCTCCGTCCCCCAGTTCTCCGTCCTGCTCTGCGTGGGCAACATTTCCTCCTCCTGACGCAGGACTGGGGGTCGGGCTTCCTCAGGCACCAGAGAGGAAAGGGGGGATCAGCCCCAGGGGAGGCGGGCAAGGGGGCTTGGAGACCCCCAATGACCTCCCTTCTGCCCTGAGCCTCGGGAAGGTGGGAAAAGCTAAAAGGCTACTGAGGTTAGAGGTGGGGGCAAGGACCAAGGAAGGGGAGACCCCCTTTAGGGTTTCTGCATTCGGCTCCACTCTCCCCTCGTCACCCCTCTCTGGACAAGGAGAACTGGGCTCCTCTTCCAGGAACTGAGAAAGGGGGGAGGGGGAGAGTTCCAGGGAGAGGAATGGGAAGTGAATCTTTTGAGGGAGGGGAGTTCGAGGAGGGCCTGAAGCTTCTCCCTCCTTGTCTTGGAGGAGTTTCAGCCTATACAGCAGCCCAGAGGCTTCCTGGTGGTCTCCCATCCTCAGGCTCACCAGGCCCATCTCTCTCAGCTGGGTGAGGGCATCGGAGGCTGGGCAGCTGCCAGCTGTTGAGGGCTGAGGATCAAATGCCAGGTAATGGTTGGTGATGCCAGATCAGAGCCCCCACCCGCTCCCAGCTGCAGCAGGCAGACATCCCACAGGGCGCCTATCCTGAGGGGGCCTGGATCCTCTCCTGGGATGGGTGGGGGGCAGCACCAGCCTCAGCAGGCCACAACTGGGTCCCCTCCTGCGGCTGAAGGAGGCGGCAGAGTCCGAACCTGCCCCACAATTGTGTGTTTGGACACAGCCAGTCACACAAAATTGGCCCCAGATCCAGAGAGACTCTGGTGGGATCCCATCGCTCTCCTGATCAAAGCAGAACTTTCCCCTCCCCCACAAGACTTTGATTCACTCTTGAGTTCTTCCTGACATCACATACACACACACACACACACAGTTTCTTTCTCCAGCCCCCAACAACTGCAGAGGCTCTTGGGTTTCGCTTCCCCACGCAGCCAGCCTGAAGCCTGAAGCTCTGGGCTCCTCCGAAGCAGAACTGAGGACCTGGCCAGGATCTAGCAGGCAACAAACCTCGATTCTTCATCAGGGCAGCTCAGGGACTCTCCTCCTCCTCCTCCGCCCCATGGCTGAGTCTGCAGGGGGGGCAGCCACAAGGTCCTCTGCCCCATTGGAAGCGGCTGACGGGGCCCCTCCCCACCACCTCATGATACTTCTGTAGTCCTTTCTCCCTCAGTTAAAGCCCATTGAAGAAAGGAGTCCTTGACTTATGACGGTTCATTTAATGGCCGTTTGAAGTTACAATGGCGCTGAAAAAAGTGACTCTTCGCCTAATATTCCTTCTTTTTAAAATATTTTTTATTGCTCTGAATGTTTTTTTTAATCCTTTAATGTAAATACCTGTTTTTAGCTTTGTTGTATGTGACACAGAGTCACTTGTTGTGAGATGGGTGGCTATATAAATTGATAGATAGATAGATAGATAGATAGATAGATAGATAGATAGATAGATAGGATGATAGAGATAGATAGATGATGGTAGATAGACAGACAGACAGATAGGAATAGATGAGAGAGAGAGAGAGAGATGATAGACATGATAGATAGACCCTAACCCTTATATTTTGAATATAAGCAGAGACAGTAGAAGCTTATTCTTTCACATCATGTGTTGTCCATTCATTGCAGCCTCTTTAAATATGTTCCAATTTCTGCCCTTGAAGGAATCTCCTCGTAGAGCCTCCACGGCTTCTGCCGGCCTCAGTCTCCCTAGTTCTCTCCTGGGTCCTCTCTGATGAACCTTAAAGGCTTCTTTGCTGACCGGAGCCTCCCAGAGAGAGGATCGGAGGGGCCAGGAGGAGGAGGGGAAGGACGGCCTCAAAGGCTCCCTGGGGGTTGGAGAAGGCCCTGTCCAGGGTCTCCCCTCCCCTGGTGGCAAAGGCCCCGTATGGGGGGAAAGGAGGGGGGGCTGCTTCCAAGGCGGCCTCTGGTCTGCTGGGTTTCCCAGGAGCCTCTTTCCTCTTCCACCAGGCCCAGAACCTGCCTCCCAGGTGAGGCCATCTCGTCTTTCTTCTGTTGTGTTTCTATGGCGGTGTGGTTATTTGTTTTATATATCCTCTTTTATCAGGTCTGTTTCCTTTGAAGCCTTTATACAGTATGTGAAGAGATCCAGTCCAAAAGCTGGAGGAGGAAAGGGGACGATGGTGCCGAACTCCCGGTTGGCCTTGAGAGCCTGGGGGGGGGCCTCCTGCCTGAGGTGATCTGCGCTCCAATTGGCTGCTCTGGGTGGAAAGGAGGCGTTTCTCCCTTTTCCCGCCTTTTTCCCTTTCTTCTGTGGCCTGTGGGAGATTTACCTCAGGTGGTTCCAGATAGTTCTCCTGCCATTGGGACCTTTGGGGTTGAGCCTCCTCCAGGTTCTCCCACGCGGCCTTGCAAGGGGAGGCATTGTCCACAGGAGCCCAGCTCTTCTCCGTCTTTGGGACAATTCCTCCCATCACACACCGGCCGAGTCTTCCTGTGGTGGCCCCAAGACCCCAGATGAGGGAGGGGAGGGGAAATTCTGCAGAGCCACTCTGGATGAGCTCTGAGGGGAAGAGGCTCAGTTGGAGGGCTGCCCAGGGGCAACTGGGGTTGCTGGGGAGAAGGGAGGGGTCTTCCACTGAGGGCTGCCCCATTGAACCCCCTCTTTCCCCCAGAGCTGCTCTTCCCCTCCGGGGCAAACCAGGAATGGCTGAAGGGGAATTTCTTGGTCATCTAGTCCAACCCCTGCTTGAGCAGGGGAGACCCTAGACCATTTATATCATCAAACAGGAGACCCTATACCCGTGATGGCGAACTTATGGCAATCAGAGCCATAACTGTGGGCACGCGAGCGTTTCCCTAGCTAAGCTCCAGTGTGCATGCGCACTCCGGCCAGCTGACTTTCGGGCCTTTCCTGTCTCCAGGGGGTGGGGGTGGGGAAGGCCGTTTTTGCCCTCCCCAGGCTCCTAGAAAGCCTCTGGATCCTGGGGAGAGCAAATAAAGGGGCCTACCGAGCCATCGCGTGCTAAAACCGGGGGGAGCAATGAGGGTCACACACACATTCGTGGGGGGAAGGGTGCATTGAATTATGGGTGTGGGCACACACGCACGACCCCCCCGCACTCCCCCCGCTTTTGGCACACGATGGCAAAAAGGTTAGGCATCACTGTCCTATACCATTAGAATCTGAGCCCCAAAGAGGGAGGGAGGGAGGGAGGCGTTGATTGCCAAAACGGGACAGGCCCTCCGGTTGTGATGGAGAGAAATGGCTGAAATGGCTGGGTGAATGTAGGGGGAGTCTGAGATGCCCCCCCAAAGGGCTCCCCACAAGTGCTTGGGAAGGATTGTGCCTGCTCACATTCTGGTCCTCCAAAGGGGGCTTGAGGGGAAGCAGAGCAAGGGGGCCTCCAAGCAGGAGGGGGGTCCCACCACTCCCCCTCCCAGGATCTGCCCACCCTCCTCCCGAACCACTTCTGCCTTTGGACCCGAAGTAGCCGGGATGTTCGATCCAGAGGAAGCGGAGGAAGGAGCCTCTTGTGGCGGCAGGAAAGAGGAGGAGGAGGAGGAAGATGAAGGAAGGGAGGATTCCAGGCTTTCCTGCTTCTAAAGTTTATTCTTTTAGAGCAAAGCGAAGGGAAGGGAAGTGACTTGGAGGACGAATAATGTAGATGAAGCTGCTGTGGGTTCAAAGCCAGGAGAGATGGGGTGACAGGTGGGCCCAGCGTCCCTGGGGACAGTCTAGATCAGGGTCCTCAAACTTTTTGAACAGGGGGCCGATTCAGAGTCCCTCAGACTGTTGGGGGGGCCGGACTGGCTCCCTGGGCGTGGCTAGGTGGTCATGTGACTGGGTGGGCGTGGCCAATTTAACAGTCCATTTATTTGCCTTTCTCCTTCCTAAGCGCCTGTTTAAATTGTTTTCAAAGACTTTTAATTGAAAGCAGGACTTTACAAGCCCAGAGCTGCTTTTCAAGGCTGCCCCGGCAAGATCTCCCCTCAGCCGGCCTCCCAGTTGGCTCCCCGGAAGAGAAGGCCCAGGGTGAGGGGCGGGGCTTAATCACACCACTCCACGGGCCGGATACTTTGCATTGGCGGGCCGTAGTTTGAGGCTGGCTGGTCTAGATGGTCTCCACCCCTCCCTCCCAAGAAAGAGCGGCCCTGAAAGGAAGCTGGGGGGAGGGGCTCAGCGGGAGAAGGTCCAGGCTGCCATTCTCCTCCTCTCCCAACCTTCAGCCTCCGTTTCTCAGAGGCTGCAAACAGGACAAAGAGTCATCAGCCACTAAAGAAAAAATATCCTTTTGCATCGGAGAGCAGGATTAATTCATGAGTGCTGTAGAAAAAGAGATGGGGAAGAAAATCAGAAGATAACGAGACACTTTTAGTGTCAATAACATATTTTTCTTCCCTTTCAGCCCCCACCCCCAAGGCAGGCCCAGACGGTTGACAGGCAGGGACGGATAGAGGGAGAATCCACCCATTTCAGGGAGGAAAAGGCTGGGAAGGACCAGGGATTCCTCCCCATTTCATCTCCCTTTGGAAATGTCTCAAAAATTCTGGGTGAGATTTTAGTGTTTGTGTCTGCTTTTGCTTTTCATTGCAATATTTTTTCAGGTCTCTGTAAGGAAAAACTGTCCAAAGTCTCAAAAATGTGCACAGCAAGGAGATTTTGTTCATGCATATTTTTTCTTTAAATGGAGCAATTAAAGAATTTTAAAAGCCACCTATAACTTTTAGGAGAGGTTGAGATGAGGGGGAAGAGGAGAAACTCACCTGCAGGAGGTTGGATGGGAATTGCTGGAAGGAGAAAAAGACCCAATCAGGACCCTTCATGGGCTGGAGGACTCAGGGGGACCCCCTCCCCATTGATAGCCCATAATAGGTTGTGTGACCTTCACTTATAGCCCCTCCAAGAACAGAAGTTCCCATAAATATTCCTCAAGGGGCCCCTCTTGGCCACCTGCTAAGCTTGAGGAGAGGCATCCCCTAGAGGGTCCCCTCCCCACAACCTCCCCTCCAGCCCCCCAGACTCACCTTTCTTGCTCTTCAGGTAGGAGAAGAGCCCCACAGCCAGGAAGGCCACTCCTATCACGGCCCCCATGATCCCCGTCCAGAGTTTGCTCCTGGCAGAGCTGGAGGAACGGGGCTCTGGGGAAGGAGAAGGAGCCTCACGTGAGCAGGAGGATCAGGCCCACCTTCCCCCAGGAGGGTCCATTCCAGCTCCCCCCACAGGGAGGGTCTTTCTCCCTTCTCAGGGCAGGATGGGGTCCCCAGATCAGGAGAGGAGGGAGGGCAGGTACTTACCCCACTGGACGGTGATGGGGGCCTCCAGGCTGGCGTGCCCCACCTTGCAAGTGTAGACATCCCCCCTCTGGGGCTGGGTCTCCAGCATCACCTGGAGCTGGTAGGTCCAGTCTCCGCTCTGGAGCTCCTCCCCAAAGGCCACGCCCTCCTCCTCCGGCTGCCCGTTCTTCAGCCACTGGACCTCGATCTCCACGGGGTAAAAGCCGGTCGCGGTGCAGAGGAGAATGGTGTTGGGGGAAGAGGGCTCCATCTTGGTGGGGGAGATGGAGACGGTGGGCTTGGCTGGAGGGAAGGAGGAGAAGGAGCAACATGAGAGACACAGGAGGGCCCAGAATGGAAGATATGATTTTTGCAGAGAAATGGAGGCTGAATTGATTCTGGGGAGAGTTGAGGGAAGGTTGAGAGCCTCTCTTGGTGGCCAGAGAAAAGCTTTGGCCTCTCGGGAGAAGGAGACGCCCGGATCTCTTCGGAGAGAAAAGTCAGCTCAGAAGTAAAAAAAAATAAATAAAGAGAAAATTCCCCCAAATAGAGTCAAGAAACATCCGGCGATTTCAGGTGTCCTCAATTGGAGCTGAACCAACTATCTGAAGCTGAGGAATCTCCTTTCCCTGAAGGGAAAATCCCCCCTGAGACCCACAAAAGGAGGGAGGGGGAGGGAGGCCCTGGGGGGGGCACAAAAGAGACACACTCACAACACCCACACAATTGGGAGGGGATTTTAGGGCCACTTTCAGGGTCATCAAAACTCATTAGCCAAATTAGTAGAAGTGAGGAAATTTCCATGTTAAATATTGCTGGAATGAGAATTGTTTCAAATATGCCAGACAACAAGAATGTTGAATTGATAGTAAGCAATAATTAAACCTTGAATATTATCAATCAGGGGATTATTATCTCCAGGGAAACATCCTCTTTGGTAGTAAAAATATTTCAAACCATCTCTCAAACTGGAGAGAATAATAATAATAACCCCTCCGAGGAGCTCTACCTTGTCGTGGTGGAGGGGCTTGCGTGCTCTAGTGATCCTAAGGGCTATGCTGAACAGGTGCAACCATATCAGACAGACCTTAGGTGAAGGGCCAGACAAAATCTGCTCCACAACCCATTCAAACATGGTGAATATAGAAAAAATGAAATTCATGCCGGCTGAACCATCGCCCGGATTAACAAGGGTTCCGTTGGATGCTATGGCTCCTGGGCATTCTACGCAAAATGAGTTACAGGGCTCAACTCCCTCTGCTAGGCAACCAGGGCATGGAGCTGACAAGCTACTGGAAGAAAAACCCAAAAAGTGAAAAATCTGGACCAGGGAAGAAAACACCTCTATTATGGAAGCTTACTATCAGTCTGAGCCAGCAAAACATGGATTTCAAAAAAGAATGTATCAGATTTGGCAGATGAACCATACGGACTGTGACACCAGTGAACAAAGGTTAATGGACCAACGACGTGTAATCCTAAACCACAAATTTTTCACTACAGAAGAATTAATAGCAATAGAAGAGAAAGCAATTAATGGTCTGAGTACAACAACAAAGAAGAGTAACATCAAGAATGATTTCCAGACTCAAAAGCAAATTGAGGAAGAAAGGGAAGAAGAGGATACTGAAATGGATGAAGATAAAGAACAAGGAAGCACTAAAGAACAAACACCAACAGATAGTGCTCAATTAGCTGGAAAAATAAAGCACCAAATGGAAGATGCTGAAAGAACACGTTTGCCAAAGCTGAACCAAGTGAACCGGAAAGAATTGAGAAATGTACTAAAAAAGGTCAATGAGGCTGTGCAAACTATTCGAACCACTACATTAGCCGAAACAAACCAACTGATGTATGCAGCAGCCGTCATAACCACCAAAGAACTGGGGTTGAAAATACAAAAGAACCAAAGAGGCAAGAAGGGGAAGCCTAAGTGGAAAATTCGGTTAGAATTGAAGATCAAAAAAGTACGTGGAGATTTGAGCAACTTGAAGAACCTAAGGCAAGGTCAGCTAAAGAATAAGCAGGTCAAAAGCAGCCTGGAAGCAAGATACGATCTGAGGAATAAGGAGATTGCGGTAGTAATTGAAGAGCTGAAGCAGAGGGTTGTTGCCATCGCTGAAAAGATTAAAAGGTATGAAAACCGAGTAACTCAGTTCAAGGAAAACTCACAGTTCAGAGCAAATCAGCACCAGTTTTATAAGAGTTTAGAAAATGGAAACAGAGTAACAACAAATGAAAAGCCTGATAAAGAGAAAGCTCTGAAATTCTGGAAGAATTTGTGGGAAAACAACAAGAAGCACAACAGAAATGCAAAATGGATCAAACAGGTTGAGGACTCTATTAAAGTGCATAAAATGGAAGACATGAAAATAACAAAAGCAATGGTGCAAAGACAGTCAAGAAAAGTGAAGAACTGGAGTGCACCTGGACCGGATGAGCTGCCTGGCTTCTGGTTAAAGGCACTTACAAGTCTGCACAAAAGATTGGCAACCCAGATGAACCAGATCCTAAAAACACCTGAAAATGATGAATGGATGACAACTGGAAGGACATTTTTGATCCAAAAAGATAAAGAAAAAGGAAAGGACCCTGGAAACTATAGGCCAATCACCTGTTTGCCAACAACATACAAGCTTCTTACTGGTATCATTGCAAACCAAATCTATGGATACCTGGAAAGAAATAACTTGCTTCCTGTAGAACAGAAAGGATGTTGCAAAAAATCAAGAGGAACAAAGGATCGGACTTCCGGTTTGCTGCTGGCCGCCGCCAGATGCTCCTTCGGGATCGTCAGCTTCCACTGCCTGTCAGAGCCGCCTTCACAACGGAATGGCGGCTCGAAAAAACTCCGTTTCCATGAGGAAACGGAGATAGAGCCGGCAGGGGTGGGTAGAACTCTCTGCAGAGTCCCAAAAGTTTTTCTTTTACTTTTGGGACGGAGCGGATGAGATGCCCCATATCCCCAGCCGCTGCTCCGGGCTTTGGGAGACCTCTGCTAATGCAGAGCTAGGCGTCAAAAGCAAGCCTGCGAATTTAACAGATTATTCAAAGAAAATGTGAGCTGGACCTGTAATACTGAACCGCAAGTATTTTACTTATCTTTTAAAAATTACTTAAGAGAAAAGAGGAAAAGAAAGAGGAAAAAAGCCTTTTAAAATGGCGTCTGCCGCGGCTGGAGGAGAGGCTGAAAGGGAAAGTCCTTCCGTTTTCTATTATTACAATGTAGCGGAATAAATACCACTGGCTACATTTGTAGACAAAACTTCGCTCCTGTGTCTTTTTTTCTCTTTTTCCCCTGGAGACTTGATATTGTTGTTGACTGGAAAGAAGTCTTTTTTCTTGTTTTTTTTTTCTTTTAACAAAGCCTGCCTGGGCGGAAACATGGCACTGAGACTTACAAAGTCAGATAAACAAGTGGGGGGGAGATTCCCCCACTAACAATTTAAAGGAACAAGTTTTAACTCTTCAGTCTCAGAAACCTGATTTTAATATAATAGAATTTCTTTTAGAGGAGATTGAAAGAAGGGATGAGATTGTGAATCAGCAACTTGAAAAATTTAAGCAGGAAATTAAAGAATTGGTGAAATCTAAGTTTGATTTTTTGGAGCAAAAAATTTTAAAAGTGGCTAATGGTTTTTCAGAATTTATGATACAGTTGGATACAAATATTAATTTACTAGAGTCTAAAATGGAAGAAATTCAAGATAAATTGGACAATAGAATTCAAAAAATTGAAAATGATCTGATAAACACTCAGGATAATAGCTCAGAAGAAAAACCTAAAATGGATGCTGATCAAAAGTCTGGTAATGTAGAAAATTTGCAACAGAGGATTGAAAAAGAGGTTCTAATGGTACAATATAATTTCACAGAATATGCGATAAGACTGAGAGGCTTGCAGGAAAATAACAGAGATGATTTAAGGAAAATATCTTCTGAATTTCTAGCTGGGATTTTAAAGATTCAACCTGAGGAAGTGTTTTGTAGGATTGACAGAGTTTACCGAATAAACTCCTGGATTGCCAAGCAAAGGCAACTGCCTAGAGATGTGGTGATTTATTTTACAGATAAAGAAATTAGGAATAAAATTGTGCAAAATTCCTTCAATTCCAATTTGCAATTGTATGGAAGAAAGATTTGGATTTACAAGGAACTCCCACCTAAGATATTAATGGAAAAGAAGAAATTTGGTTTTCTGGTGTCTGAGTTAAAAAAGAGAAATATCCCATTTAGGTGGGACGCCCCAGTTGGTATTATATTGAGATATCAAGGAGAAAGATACCAGTTAAATACTGTTGAAAGAGCGGAAGAATTTTATCAAAATAGGTTGAAAATGAATTTAACGCCTTCAGGTATAATACAGGATAAGCAGAAGGAGCTGGAAATAAAGGTAAAATATCGAATTACAGAGACTGTACCAGATAAATTGCCTTTGGATTTATCAGATACCCCAGCTGGATTATCTACAAATTTGAGAGAAGTGGCATCCAACTTTAATGTGATGACTCATCAAGGCAAGGACAAGCATGGAAACCAATTAGGGGAAAAGAAATATGAGACACAAAAACAAAACCAACAAGACCAATCTACAAAGCAGAATGAAAACCGACCAGATGATATACAATTTGTAGAAAGGAAACCAGGATGGAAATCAAACCCACAAAAAGAAAAGAAAAAAAGAAATAGGTTGCATAAAAATAGAAATTTCTAAATCAAGCAACAGTGAAGCCAGTGACTTTAAAATATGAATGATTATGTGAAAACATAGAGGAGGCGACGTATTGGTCAATATCATCCTGAGGATAGTGGCAGATCTCTGCATGGCCGTAATCTTGGGACGTGAAAAGAGCCTTAAACTGATGGATCTGAATTATCCACTTTGGAATTTCTTTTTGTGTTGATAAATATATTATAATTATCTTGAATCATAAGGCAAGAGAATTATGCTGGGGCATGCAGAAGATCGGGTTGTTACCCACTACGATGATGGGAATCAATAATCCTGATGAAACCCACAATTATTACTATATGGAATATAATTTTAATGTCACTCGGGTGGTTGTTTTTACTTTTATGCATATAAGAAGATATTTACTACTGATGGGGGCAGATATGATTGAAGATCCTGAATAAACTGTTGCACCAGCAAGCTATGTTACCCTATTATGGATGTTGGTTCTACCAATCCAGTGGAAAGACTTCAAAGAAGATATTGTATGGACTATAAATTTAAAGTCATTGTCTTTTCTTTTTTTATTTAGATATAATGGAATATATATACATATATTTTTAAGTAGTGT